CCACGACGACCCCATATCAGTTACATCTTCATCAAACACAATGTCACGTCCATCTCCACTCAGTAAGCGTGGCGGCTTCTACTTTATTTCTGTCTCTGTTCGTATAGTGAGCGGCTCTGGTTCTGTGAACCTGCAGTGAGACTGCGGCTCCAAATCGAATGGAAGCTCCTGCACGGCTAAAAATAGCTGAGCCACGTTCTCATGTCTTTTTTTTTTTTTCTTTTTCTTTCTCCGTCCTCCGTCCCGCCTCTTTCCTCCTTCCTCAGTCTGGTGTCCTTGGATGACGACAACAAGCCACCAGGAAGTGCCTCTGGCGCAGGTACGTGCTGCCCCCTGCAGTGTGAGTGGACAGAAAGGAACTACACAGACAACCGGTTCGATCACATCGTATTGGGCTGTAAAACATGAGATTCCTTTTAGTGTGAAGACCAAAGAAATCATGAATAATAAATTCAGTTCAAATGAATTTACTTTACTTTGCCGTTTGTGTGCAACGTGAATAAACGAAAGTACAAAAGTCATCCAGTGTGAAACGACCCTTTTGGGCTGGAGGCGTTCATGGTCCGGCCTTCTCTCCAGCCCCCGCCGGTGTAAACAGTGCGGCCTTTACGACCCTTTTGACCTCAGCGCTCCGTAACGCCGGCGCACCGGCTGTGGACCGCAGTGACCTCGCGGGACCGCCGGACGACGACCGGATGCTCATGGCCAGTGACCCGCCCCCCCCTCCTCAGGGCGGAGACTCACAGGAGCTGTGGGGCTTTGGGGGCCTCCAGTCCGGCTCGCCGCAACTGCCTGCCTCCGGTAAACCGGCACGCTCATTCCGGCTCGCTCTGATTGGTTGTGGCACAATTCCACCTCTCCTGGGACTCGTAGTTCTTATTAGCTCTGACGTTCTGAAAGCAAGAGGCTTTGTTTCCTTCACTTGTCACTTTGAAAAACAGTCACGGGTCTTTTTGCAGTGTAAAAAAGGGGCTTGTTTGACCCAAAGGCCCCCCCACCCCTCCAGACCCCCCGACGAGAGGCAGACGGAGGTGTTAAGGGCCTGTGCATTGTCCACTGTGACGTATTATCAGCTGGTCTAATGGAGCCCCCCCCCCCCCTCAAGGTGGGGATCTGCTTTCAGGTGCGGGACCGGAGGAGGGTGAGCGGGGTGACATTGCCTTCCTCGGGGACCTCCTCAGCGCCGGCCCGGGGGGCGGCGACGAATTCAGCAGAAAGTGGCAGGACGCCTTCGGGCTGTTCGATCCCCCCAGCGTCCCGCCACCGAGCGAGGGGGTGGCGGGCGGAGGCGAGACGGTGGCTGCCTGTCTGCCCTCAAACCCCCCCAGCCCCACCGGCTTCCTGCCCTCCCAGCTGCTGGATCACAGTCTGAGCGCCACAGGTGAGCCCCGGGGGGGAACAAGCTTTCCGCGGCACCCTCGCTCACCTGCCCTCACACTCTCTCTCTCTCTCTCTCTCTCGCCCCCAGGCTGGTCAACCCCGCCCATGTTCCAGGCTCCGCCCCTTCAGCCTCCTCCCGGGCAGAGCCAATTGGCTCAGCCGGTCGCAAGTGTGGCAGCCAATGGTTCGTTCTCCCTCAGTCGTGTTTGCTTTGTGTCTAAACAATGTTTACATTAATCCCGGAATATTACGCAGCCGTATGAACTTAAACTTTCCTCTGATGCCAGCGGCTCCGGCGGGATCCAAGGACATGTCTGCCTGGTTCAACCTGTTCGCGGACCTGGACCCCCTCTCCAACCCCGACGCCATCGGACGCTCCCCGGACGAGCTCCTCAACGCCTAGAGGAGGGCGTGAATGTATTTGTGTTTGCGCGTGTGTGTGTGTGTGTGTGCGTGTGCGTGTTATTTCTTACACAGGTTCTGGATGTCAGAAACCGAGTCAAAGAACACACACAGAGACAGTGATGCGCACACACACACACACACACGTTACCAGGAGACGTGTGTACCTACACACGCGTGTTACACTGGAATGCGTTGTGTTGCTGTACACTGGAGAGCGGCGTGCTGTGGGGTCAGTGGGTCAGTGACTGAACTCCCCCGACTCTTGTTTCCTTTCAGTAATCACAGCAAACGCTCCGGGGTCCAAGTTAATTTAGCGCGTTTTTGCTTTTTTTTTGTTTTTGTGTTGCTCGGGGTGTGTGTCTGTTTGCCGTGTGCGTTGTTCGGGGTGTGTGTCTGTTTGCCGTGTGCACATATCTGAGTGGACTGAAGATGTAAAGTCTATTTACTTCAACATGGTAGCAGATGATCTATACATGTATGATATATTGTATGAATGGCAGGTTGCAGCAAGTATTGAATGTTGTTTGTATGAGGTACTTGTATACAGTCTGTGTATTATTTATGGTTGAGGACATCCGCTTAAGTGTGCGCTAAATTCAGAGTATATATTACCGCTACTTTTCCTTTCTCTCTTCAAAGCTAATTCTAAGGGTGCTAACTCTATGTTAGCATACGCTATAGATTCTGGTCAACTTCTGCTTCTATAAGTTTGTTAATTTGGTTCTTGTGTGACAAAACAAACGGTTCCTCAACGGAGTGTGGAGGCTCTGAACGACTGCTTCAACTTCACGTCAGAAAATATTTTAACTGTAGCGTGCACGTGAACTTAATCATTTAGACCACATTTAGCTGCTGCACCGTCCACAACAAGGGAACCCTGTAGAAGTACCTCCTACAAAAACATCCAAACTAAGTCTTTTCTTCTGCTGTCATAATGCGCACCCTTTTTTAAACTGTTTAACGTTACCATGGAGTCGATCACCGCGGTAACCGTTGCTCAGCTGGGCCCACTGTAATGATTGACGTGAACACTCCGCCTCTTTGCTGAATACTGTGACGCTCTATTGATCTCCCTTTGGGGGGGCGAGGGGGGGTCCAAAGGCCTGACCTGGAGTCAGATCACTGGGAAACGCACTCACATCCCGCATTCTGAATGAAGTCGAGTACTAAAGCTGAGAAAATGTGTGCAGGTTAAAATATTTATTTTGTAGTTTCCTCCCTAAGGAAGTTTTAAAGTAGGACACAGGATCGTTTTGGGTCGGGTGGGTTAAACAAGTCCTAGAAATCTGCAAATAGCTGCATCAAACTATTTGTTTTTTCTGACAAAGTAACACTAAACTGGTAAACCACTCCTTGTTTTTTAACTGCGTTATCTATTGGTTGGAATTAACAGATGGACTTTTTGAAATCTGTTTCATGGGGGAAGAATCAACACTGGAGAGCTGTTACCGCGTCATGGAATGGATTTGCTACACTTTATGAATGTCTCCAAAGTGAAGACTTGTCTGGTTACTACGATCAGATGATTGTGTGAAACCAGGTCTGTTGAGATGTGAGCACCTTGTGTACCGAGTCCAAATCCTTAGTTTCAGTGGTCTGCCTGTGGAAATGTCACTCAAGGGGGGTAAAGGTGCTCGAGGTGCATCATCGGAAAGAAAATATAAACAGCAACTCTGAATAAACACTTTTTTATACATGCTGCATATTAATATCTGCTTTTTTGGCGGGGAAATAGACCCCTACCACACAAATGTGCTTTTTGTTTTTAATGTCACATGAGGGAAAACTACTGTACTGAACTGCTCTACTCTTGAATACACACTTCAACAGCTACAAAAAAGAATGTATTTATCGAGTCAATCACAAATGCTTTATTTAATTCAACTATGCCTTTTTATTTCACTCAAGCGGTTTAACAGATGAAAACTTGGCAGTTGTGTTTCCAATAAACTGGACAAGCAAACAAGGAATCATTGTGTTGAGCCTTGTTCCAAAAATGCTGTTTACCCACTTTGTGAAAGTTGAAATAAATCAGCATTTCCACTTGTATAAATTTGTTCTTTCAAACTTTTTTGTGTATTGTTGTAAACAAACAACTTGAAACAGAAAAGAAATCTGTCCGCAGCGCTTGTGAGTGATATTTCCATCAGCGTGTGGACTCTGACAGACACACGACGTCCCGCCCCCCTACTTCCTGCTGCGCTACAGACACGTAGACGTCGCTAGTGCGCGCTGAGAAGCTAATACATCTTTTTTTTTGTGTGTGTGAGTGTTTAATTCTATTCACTACAACCTGAGATGAATGATGTAATCTACTCTTGGTTAAAATCCTCTGTGGAGACCAAAATCACACTTCTGATAAATAAATACATTATTCACAATAATGAGACGTGTAATTCACAGAACTCAGCGGAGAAAGAAAAGCAGTGGAGGGGAGAATATGGAACAACCGTTGACTCGATTCAGATACATATCTTTGTCCGTCGATAATACAAATGCGGTGCGCCTCCTTATTTACAGATCCAGTACATTCCTATCCCACAGGAGCAGGCACAGTCGAGTAGCAATGACATTTACAGGAGGGAGGGGGGCCGGAGAACCCGGAGACCACGCCGGGAGTCACGTGACTCTGAGCAGGTACGCGTGTCCTTTTCAGGTCATGTTCTTTTCTCAAACTGCAACGAGGACCTGCGAAGTAAAATGAATGAATGTGCGTTTCCATCCTTTGCGGTACATGATGGAGGGGGTTCACTGGGACGGCAGAAAGAAAAGAAAAAGTCCAGTGATGGTTCTGTGTGGGACGTTGCACACAAGACTTTGACTAATTCTTCAGGTTGGATATTGACAACTGCAGCTTCAGGATTATGAGAAATCATTTGATTTCAAACACATTTGCCAGGTCTTTGGGGTCGGAGACGTGTGTTCCCACGTGGCCGTCGGTGTATTTGGGACCTCTGCGTGCTCGGGGGGCCAAGAGAGGGTCTATCACTATACACGACACTTTCAGAGCTACACGGTAGAAAAAATTAAAATCAGCATTACGGAAACGCGAGGAGAAGTTTGGGGATAAATAAGGTAAAAAGGCTCGCTGCTACCGGTTAGCACGTCGGAGGCACCGGCTTGTTCCAGCACCGGACGGACGTCTGGCTTCAGGTCACAGGTGGTCTTGGTACGGATTGTTCTACGGACCGCTTCACTTCCTCGCCCCCGCCCGATATCCCAATGGCCGTTGTCTTGGCGACATGGTGTGCGTCATGCTAGAGAAACACACACGATCGGGGCGCTACGGCGGCTCGGCGAAACAGAGCGGTCTGAAGTACCAGGCACATTTTTTAAACTTATTTTTTAAACTTCTCTCAATATCCGCGACCGTTTCAAGTTTTGCTACGTTGTATTTCTGGCAGCACCATTGAATTAGCCTCCAAACTCTTGGTCGTCACGGGAACCGGCGGCCCCCTTTTTTTCTTTTTTTTTTCTTTAAATAATGGAAGGCATATTTTTTATATATCAAGAGAAGTAACTACAGATAGAAAAAGAGATATGTCCGTGGAAAGGCGCCATGGTATAATACGATGAAACAGTCGGTCCTTTTTTTTCCCGCCCTTTTTCCTTCCCCCGCCACCCCCAAGAAAACAGGAACGTAACCAGCACTGAAGGAAAAGGAAAGCGATGAGACGTTGGCCGCTGGCGCCCGAGCGTTGCCCCGCCAGACTCTGGGGTCGGGGTCGTCTGGGGAGGAGCTTAGCTGGCATGCTGAAAGCATTTTTTTTTTCTTTTTGAAATTTTTTTTTTTTTCCAAATGAAGCAGAAGGGGCGTTTCGGAGTGAATGTTTGTTCGGATTCCATAGAGGCGGCGGGCTTTCCCTTTCTTACATTTTTTTTTATTATTTTTTTTTATGTCAAAGCCCTCGCGGGACCCTCAGAAGCTCTCGGGCTCCTCCAGGAGGCAGGGCTGGGTGGACAGAGGCACGAGGGACGGGGACAGACTCCGGAGGCCCACTGCGGAGCGGAAGCTCAGGTCCGGGGCGGGCAGCAATGGCTTGAGGATGCTGACGAGGCAGAAGGCGGAGCCGCTGTTGGGGATGAAGTTGACCTTGTTGCGGTCGGGACACAGGAAGGGCGGGAGGTCCTGCAGGGCTTTGGGCCTGGAAGGACACATGCAGGGACACATTCAGCAACACGAGTGGTTATTACTTTTACAAATAATGTTTGTCTGGGACTATTTTCAGTGTAAGTAATCAATATTTGGTGCTCGAAGGGTATTTTCTGCAGCAGGATGGTTGGTGCCTTAATTAACTATATAGAATACTTATTCCGTAGCCATTTAACTTTAAGAAGATCGGGTTAAGTGGAGGTAAATAACCTTTTCAATAAGATAAAGTGACTCAAAATGCGCTCTACCAAACGGTGGAGTTAAAGGTTTCATTTTGCAGAAATAGGTGCCAAAACGCTCGAAACCTGGCTAACGTGTTAGCAAGTGGCTTCTGAACGTTGCGGACCAGTTGATCAGCACTTTTCAATATAAACATTTGAATCCACTGTTATAAAATATGAATTGTAGCACAGAAAACACTTAGCCTAACACACGTTGGGTCCAGATCGTCTACTCACATGGTCTCCTCGGACACTCTGACCTTCTCGCAGCCCTCTGGAGGTTCCCTCTTGAACATGTAGCTGTTGTTGGGTCTGGGAGAGGCGGCGTACTTGGGCAGCGGGGAGCAGGGGCCCAGCTCTGAGGACAAGGGGGGGAGGTCAAAGGTCGCGGGAAGCAACAGATCAGGCTTGAAGAGACTTTGGCAGGGCACGCGTGTGTGTGTGTGTTAGTCACCTTTGTCCTCATAGGGGCTGCCTCCAACCGTGTCATTGAGGACAGTGAGGTAGGAGGGTGAGATGGAGTCGGGGCGGCTACTGCAGTTGCTATGGTTACCACTCAGTCCGCACCCGGACGGGGTCTGGGTGTCGATGCTGCGCGTGCTGCTGCTTCGACGCGAGGGGACTGGCGGGGGCGCACGGTGCCCATCTGGGACGTCCTGTGGCTGCCGCAAACGCACACACACACACACAAATGAGGTCACAATAACAACATAGCACTGGGGGGCTTAAACCCTGCACGGCACACTTTAAAAACCCCTCAAAAATCTCCGTGAACTCACCACGATGGTCTCATCCTTCTCGGGCGTGTCGCGGATGATGATGCGTTCGATCTCCTGGTTGAGGCCCTCCACGCTGTTGCGGAAGCGAGGGGCCGACGACTTGGAGATGGGGATTGGGACCAGGATGGTCTTTGGCATCGGGGACTGCAAAACACACACACACAAGACCCCGAACAGTTGATGTGGGCCCTGCACTGGTTTAAGGTTGTTCTGAAGTAAAAGTCTAAGTCTTGCAAGTGTGAAGGGGGGGGCACTGCGTCTTTTAAAAAGCTCCCGCTAGCCGGTCGCCGACTCCACGGGGAGCACACGACCGCCGTCACCGACAGAAGTGTGTGTGTGTGTCTTTTATTGAAGCAGAGGCCATTTAACTAAAACATTTCAAAAACACGTCACATTTTGAAATGACCAGGAGACGCGCTGGCGGAGCCAAAACGGGGACAGGAGGGGAAAAAGTGGGACGTCCAGAAAACTCTGGGGAGTCTCTGCTGATCACCTGCGACTGGATGATGGTGTGGCTGCCATTGAAAGGGGACTTGCGGTCCTTCTCCCTCCGATGGCGGCTGCTGCGTTTGCTGCGCTGGAGCTGCTGACGCAACTTGGCAATCTGGAAAGCGAAAGGTTGGACACAAGACGCGTAGACGTGAGGGGACGTGTGTTGGGTCTTGGTGTAGGGTTGGAACGGACGCACAAAAAGGAGTCTATTTGAGTGCATACTGGTGTATTCGGGCTGCATCCAGGAAAGAGACTGACCTCCTTCAGCTGGTCGGTGCTCCCACAGGAGGCCGACCGCTTGTGAGAGCCCCTCCTCCTCTCATCTGCCCAGGCCCTGGGGGTCTAACACACACACATGCACGCACACACACACACACACACACGCACACACAGGATGGTTAGAGGTAAATATCAAACATACAAGCACGAATCAGCTCAAAATAAAAGTAACCAACCAAAACTTGGTTCAACCCCCCCCTCATTGATGCATCGTTTGGATTGCAGCATCGAAGGAGGCTCGAACGCACAACGTCTTTACGCCTTTGTGTCATTAAACGTGGCACTGTTTGGCCTGGCTGTCTGTGAGGCAGCGCGGCGCCATGATGCAACGGTCTGCAACGCCTCCTACCCGCTAAGCATTGGTCGCGCGTCGTGCAAGCGTCCCTCTCGGCTTCGCCACGGGTTGGCGGCAACGGTCCGTCTTCTCGGCGATCGCTGTGGAATTTTGTGGACGCCACTAGACTCCAGAAGAAAAGCCCTTTGACTTTTCACTAAGCGCCACCATCAGGGGAAGATCTCTTTGTTTTCATATTTAGCAAAAGTTAGACTGGTAACATACTAAACTAAAAACATGATACCTGCTAAACATCAGCGTGTTAGCATTGCTGCTATGAACATGTTAGCATCTTGTTGCTAATGATGGCGTTTAGTTGCAAACAACCCGAGTGGGTTAAATGTCAGAATGCTAACTTGCCAAACTAAGACAAACACCCTGAACTTTATCATCAGCATGCTGATGTAACATTTAGTGCACACCAGCGTGCATCTTCGGGGACGGATCAGTGTCCTTCATGCTAGCATGCTAACAGACCAAGACACACATGGTAAACATTAAATCTGTGGAGCCCCTTCACAGCAGGCTCTTAATCTTATTCATATTTTAATGACAATTTGTTTGAAAACTTTCATCATTAATATGTTATTTGTTTGAATTTAGCCACACACACACACACACACACACACACACACACACCTGCGTCGCTTTGTCCCTCATGAAGGGAGATTGCAGGTGCTGGCTGTCGTCCTGAGGCCAGGGACCTGTCAGGTGAGAGCCAGCGAGCGCGCCCTGCGAGGGCCACAGCTGGACACGATGGCGGGAGACCGAAAGAGAATGAGGAGCGAGTTCGGATTGTGGGCGCCTCAGACGGGGAGGCGAGGGACGCCGGAGAACAACCGCAGGAAGACGTGGGACCTTAAGGCGTCTGAGAGAGAGAGAGAGGGAGAGGGGAGAGGGGAGAGGGGGAGTCAGATCAGCCGCGTGGATGTAAACAAGTTATTTGAGGACACACGGAGAACACGTCAACAAATCACACACAGCTGGCCTACGGGGATTAGCTCGAGCCCGTCTTCCTCTGTCTGTCTAGGGTTGTGTGTGTCTATGAGTGTGTGCGTTGCTAGTTTGATGTTAATCCGTCCCGTGCTGGGCACCCCCACCCCCCTCACACAGCCCCCCCGTTTAATGCCATTAAAACAGCTTAAAGCATGAGGGGAGGGAGGGGTGGGGGGGCAGTGATGGGGGCAGGTGCTGGCTTCTGCCCGACTGACCCGGATTCAGAGCTGCAGAGACGTGTTTGTGCGCGGGGGTCCGGGTCCTCTCACACCCACGGGTGCATGCAGGGGTGTCGGCCGGCATCTACTGATGTTGAGCTTAAAGGAGCCACGTCAGCTACAGGTCACACTGAGACGACACGATCGCCATTCGTTCTTTCTGAGCGACACACGGCGTCCTTTTACTTTATCCGACACCAATTTGATTGAGAATAAGCCTTTTTTTTCGGTATAGGATATGAAAACTAAAAAAAATGCCACTGAATATTAATAATGCCTGTGATCAACAGTTTGACCAACAATGCAGCATTAATGAAGCAACACACACATGCATCAGAATCCATTATAATTCAGTACTAAACGCCTTGCGGCATTGCAAATGCATTCACATATTTTGTAGCAGGGCTACAAACACACAGCAGCATCGACAAGCTGCTCCCGGAGCTAAATTTGGCAGGGGGGCCTTGACCAGCACACATCACTGTTGCTAGGGAACGGAGCCGACTGATCTTCATTAACACTCAACCGCGCTTTTGTGAGTGTGTGTGTGTGCGTAAACAGGGGTTTGCAGATCAGATGTCTAGTAACAAAATACTCTGGCAGTCGTTATTTTGACTGCAATGTACTGAGGGGAAGCAGCAGCAGCAGCACTGTGTTACTTAGTAGTATTTTAGTTTGTGGACGTCCCTTTAAACCAGATAGGCTCATAACAACGGACAGACTTTATTGATCTGCCAGGAGCAAAAGTGGGACAAGCCAACTTGCACACAGGATGTACGTGTCACAGAAGAGTCCAGATGGATTGCCCTTCAAATTGATGATTTGGTTGCACCAACAAAACCAAAACACAACAATTTCCACACTTCCACACTATTTACAACGCATCAGTGAGAAAACCAGCAAATATGTAATACAACAGGTCAAAAGCGGAGGATAATTTTGGAGTTTCCTTTGCTTAACAAATGGTTTGATTGGCTGTTGATTAACTAATCTGTGAATCAATACAACTCTGGATTACACAACTGCCTTTGCACAACATGCCTTCTGAATGTAACGGGACAGGAAGTACTTAGACAACTACACAAAATAAAATATACAGTTATCTAGCAAATTGCTGGGAGTTATAATCAAAACTAAGGTTTAATCAAATGTTTTATACCATTAAACTCATGAAAGATATCAAATCTCCATGCAATCCCACGCACATGAAGGAAGCTTTTGTTTACTGCCCCCCCTAAATAATATAATCCCCATCATCAAAACATCTCCTGGCTCTACAGACCTACACTCCAGAAACCCGCAGCAGCACCACGTCGACATCAATACAACGTGTTTGTGAAGAGAAAAGACGACCTCACCTGCAGCGCGCGGAGCTCCCCGGCTCCGTGTTGATATCCGCCCGCCACGAGGACGTCAAAGACGCGGTGGGAACCGACGGCTCCGGCTACAGGCGAGCAAACGGCCCCTTGGACGCAAACGAGCGGACATAGAAAGAGATGCCCGAGCGTCTTCCGCGGAGACGGCGGTGCTACGGGAGGTGTCAAAATGGGCGTCGCTGTGCTCGCACCCTGCCGCCTCCTCCTCCTCCTCCTCCTCCTCCGCCTCCTCCTCGTCGTGGATGTTTTTCTCGCCCGGCTGATGCGGCAAGACGGTTGGAGCGGCCACCGAAAAACGCTCCCTGGTCGAGGAAGGAAACCGGGTGAGAAAGAAAAGAAGGGGAAGGTGCGCTGGTGTCCCGGAAGCGACGGGAATCGATGACCAGAGGGACAGAAAAGACAGAAGAGGGGACAGCAGGAGGACGGCGGTGATGCTGCGCTAGCCTCGGTTGACCGACGGGTACCAGTGTGAAGCGCGACGGAAAACAACGCTCCCACTTCCGGTCGTCGATTTCAAAATAGAAGTCGGATATCAAATCACTAATTTAATGCCACTTAACAGTAGCGTTAATATACAGTTAATATATAATTGATGTATATAATCCAATTACGACAAATCAGAGGAACAAAGATATTCAAAAGGGAGGACAACGAGGGTCAGTAAGACCAAAAGCAGCTTATTTTAAGTCACCTTATTTAATCCTAAACTCGTCAAAGAAAAGCGTTACACGCGTACGCGCACACTGCAGTGTTTGCCATGTAAACTAAAGCTCCCCACGAGTGTGAAAAGCGTGCATTTCCAAAATAAGCGTAAAAATCGATTAACATTATATTATTGTCTGAACGGCAGTCGCTTAACTTCCGGTGCTGTGCCGGCTAACCCGCGCCGCCTTGACGCTGCCGAGGCGGCGCTGTGACGTAGCGAGCGGAGCGCTGCGCCGCTCGTGCTGATGCTGCAGTTGCTGGGGCGCGCGGAGCAGACGGAGGTGAACCAGGCGTGCAGCGGGCTCCATATTTAAAATGTTACGGACGTAGTTAGTTACGTTTAGAATCGCGCGGTACGTCATCCGGCCGCTGCCCTCGTCTCGTGAATGTTGTGCAAAAAAAAAAACATTAAAAAGGCACCAGAAATAGAAATTCATACATGTGAAGCGGTTTAAGTTGCGTGGTTAATATTTTAGGAAAACCTATAATAGGAACAACCTTTATGAAAAAAGGACATACTGGATTTTTAAAAGCCCTTAAACCCCAAATTAGATATGTAACAAATAACACTAACAATTATTTCATACATTTATTGACTTTTTTCTTCTATATTGACTTGAAAATGTTTACAGAAACCGTACCAAGCAGATGCATAGCAATGGTATCGAAGGCCGCGTCCATTGAACGCAAAAAACAGAATTCCATAAAAATGATGCAAATATCAATGCGGTACACATGTTTTTTTTTCCCATACAAATTACAGATTACAAAAACATAAAATGAGATCTTTTCATATGCCCTGAAGCAGCGACCTGAACACACAGAAAGGGTACGATGACATTTCAGCACGCCTGCGCGGCGCAGCGCCTCCACAATTCTTACTGCACGTTAAGGAAAAACACGAGACTTGGGAATCAGTCGATGACACGAGGAGAAGCAGAAATAATAATTCAGCGGGTGTCAGAAAGGCGGGGTTGGTTTCTTTTAGTGTAGTGTCAGTTTGTTTTGAGGAGCAGAATCCGGGCTTTCTTAGTGTTTCAGTCACATGACACAGTGAGGTCAGGTGATGGGGAGCCGGGCCGCCGTAACAGATCCCTCTGTAGGTTCGATTCCGGTGAATCGTAGCATTTGAAGGACCCATCGTGCCAGCGAGTTTCTTTTCTTCTTCCAGTCAGCTTAGGGGGTTGATTGTAAAGGTTTGTGCCCCAAACCCCCCCCCGACCCCCCCATCCACCGAGCAATAGTCCAGAGAAGAAAGCAAGGATTGTCATCCGTTCTCTCCCCTCAAGTCGAGGTGGGGGGGTGGGTTGAGAGTGTACAGTGGATTGTTTTACAAAACGATTGTGACAATTCATAAGTGCAACAGAGAATAACGCATCGAACGTAACGACGGGGATTGAAACGAGAACCGAAAGGAACCGAAATATTAAAAGTGTTCTAAAAAGCTAAATCCTATTGCACATTTAAAAAAATAAAAAGAATTTTATTAAAAAAATTGATACGCGGGCAAAATAAAATTGGTATTGCATACAAAATGGAGGAAAACAAATAGGAATTTTGAGCAGTTTGTTGCCGTCTTCTGAGACCGCCAAATTCTTTTTTACCGAGGGCGCTGGCGAACATCGTTTGATGCAGCGAGCGAGAGCGCCCAAAGGGCTGATTGTTTGACTTCGCCTTTTTTCTTTAGTTTAGAGACCAATTCTTGTTGTGGTCGCAACAGACGGGGCTTTTCTAAACACTGATTTTAGTCGGCTCAAAGTGCACATGGGAAACGAAAGAAAAATCAATAACGTCGCTATACACTCATGAGGACGAAACAAAAAAACCAACAACAGCAAAAACAAACAATGGGGAGAGTAATAAAAAAAGTGATAAACGGAAGCGGGTGAGAACGCTGCATAGCTAGATTCCATTTAAAGCAATGCCATCATCAGAAAGACACACAGCAGTGAGACGGACCAAAGGACTGTACACAATCGCGCTCCGCCGACTGTTTGGCGACTCGCTCCGGGAGCTTCCTGTTGCTGATCCGAGAGGCAGGGAGCTCAGCACACTCAAACCAAGCGCTCTCTGATTGTTACTACTTTTTTTAAATTCTTTTTTTTCTCCTTTCTTGCCTTTCCTCCTCAAGTCTTTTGTCAAGAGTGTCTGCGTTTCTTTTCACACGTGCGTGTCGCCCGGCCCGCCGGCCAAGCCGCCCCCCCGCAGGTAGATGGCCGAACTGGACTTGGGCCGGCTCTGGCCGTGAGGGGCCGGCGCGCGGGACGACCCGTTGTTGTTGTTGTTGTTGACCTCCGGCCCCCTGGCGTCCGTGGAGATGACCCACGTGGTGGGGCGCCACTTCTTCAGGGAGTACGGCGTTTTGACGCGCTTCTTGATCTTGTCGCCGCCCGGCCCGAAGGCGCCGTCCGGCTGGACCAAGCCCTCCCCTGGAAGACAGCAAGGGCACTGATCAGTCCCTGCAGCTTTTTAAATGAATACATATTCAATACCTGTAAGTGGACCCGTGTGTTTGTCGTTTGAGGTCTATTTAAAAAAGGCACTGTGGCAATTTAGTATCACATTTGGAGAAATAGTAGCTTTTTAAAACGTCAAATTAAACGGAAGCAGCCGATATTCCCTTTAGTTGGGTCCGACCTTTCCCTAAATGCGTGGTTCTGTATGAATTAAAGAGAGAAAGTAGCGGTTAAAATGAGCGTGGTGAGAGGGTGTCATGCGAGGTGTGTGGAGTCACCCAGTGAGCTCAGGTCCTGCGTGGTGAAGGACAGGTCCAGCGAGTTGGGTCTCTCCGGCCGGCGGGCTCTGGGCTGCCTGAGCAGCGCCTCCCCTCTCATGGCAGCCGGAGCTTCACGCTGGGGGGGCGCGGCAAAGCCGGAACCCGTCCCAGAACTCTCCGCCGCCGCCGCCACCGCCTCCCTGCTCCCGGCGTCTCCCCCCTCCTCCTCCCCCGCCCCCTCCTCTCCCGCGTCGCTCTCTCCTCCGCTCTCCCCGCCCCCCCCGCCGCGGCCGGTGTTGCTGTTGTTGTTGTTCGTGTTGGTGCGGGCCGAGCGGAGGGCCGCGGCGCTCCCCGGCCCCGCCTCCCTCGGGTCGGGCCGCTCCCGCTCGCGGCTCAGGAGCGGCTCGTGCTCGTCGGGGCTGGCCGTGATGACGCCGAGGCTCAGGCGGCCGTCGTCGGGCCGCGGCGCCCCCGACCCGCTCTCGGTCGCGCTGGACCCTCCGAAACCCGTCGCCCCGCCCGCAACCACGGCCGAGACGCCGGCGCGCCCATGGCCGTTGACGTGCGCATTCCGGAGGGCGGCCGCGTTGTTCGTGCCGGCGCCCCCGTGAGCCTCTGGCTCCGCGTTGGCGGCCGCCGCCGCGGCAATGTTCATCTTTGTCCCCTCCACCTTCCGCAGGTTGGACTTCCCCGAGCGGCCAAACTTGAACCTCAGCGAGGACGACGAGGACGACTCTTTCTTGGCGGGCTTGGTGCGCAGCGGCAGGCTGGACGGCCTCTTGGGCAAGTTCTGCTGCTTGGGGAGAGGGAAGATGGCGGTGGGCAGGGGGTCGGCGGCGGCGTCAGAAGCGCCTGCGGCCTCGCTCGCCATCTTGATGAGCGGGTAGAGGAGGCTGGAGCTGCCGGGGCTCAGCGCGTCCGGGGAGCAGAACTGCTTCTGCGAGTGCTCCATCAGGTTCTCGTCGGAGCTCTCCTTCAGGTTCTTGTCGACCTCCTTCGGGTCCAGCTTGGTAGTCTCCAGGTCCTCCTGGGTCAGGTGGAGGCAGACGGGCACGGCGGGAGTCCCCGCAGGGCCCTCTGAGTCGGAGACGATGGTGGTGGTCGTGGTGGAGGCCGAGGGGCTTCCCCTGAGGCCGGTGCTGGTGCTGCTGCCCTCTGGGCTGGGCAGGCGGGTGTGGGCCTGCTGCTGCCGCTCCTGGTTGATGGAGTTCCGGTTCCTCTCCCCGGTTCCGGCGCGGCCGCCAGCGCGGCCGGCGCCGTCGGCCTGCGGGTTCTTGCCGACGCCCTCGTTCTCCTCGATGTAGGTGGACGTCTGGTCCGCGTACGGGCCCGACCGCGGCGTCATGCGGTTCCTGCCGGGGGGAGAGAGGCCAAAAAGGTTAAAAAGGAGGCGACATTCGAAGAAAAAAAAAAAAAAAGGAGCGGCGTGGCGTCTCGGGGGGCGCCGCGCTGGGTTCACGCCTACCGCTCGTTGTGCAGCGTGGTGGACATGGGGTTCAGCGTGGGGCTGACCGACTTGGAGCGGTCCCATATGAGCAGCAGCTCGGCCAGGCGCTCCTCGGCACACTGGGCCGTGAGACGGGCCTCGGCGTCCTGGTCCCAGCAGTCCTCCATGGTCTCTTTCAGAGAGCGGACCGCCTGGAGGAGACACGGTTCAGACAGTCAACCACACGACCGCGATCACGCCCGTGGGCAATGGGAATGTATTGTAAATCAAGCACTATTGATGACTATTGATCATAAGTAAACGATAACATTTAGAATGTTCGTTTCCAGAGCGCTTTAAATGATTTTTGGGATGCAGGCAAAAACATAATGAACTAAAGCCTCGCAGACCAGCTGCTATAACCTAAGAGATGTGTATCTGATGATATGGATCAATGATTGCCATTTAGTATGGCTTTTTTGCTTTTGTGCGAGAACGTCACACACACACACACACAACGCACCAAACTGTTCTCTTTCCAGGCCTCAGGGAATTTGGGCCGCTGCTTCTCCCTAGAAACCAGGACCTGCATGTCCTCAAACGTTGGGTGGTTCCCTGCCTCCGCCTGGAATGCCATCTGGTACTCTGGCACCGACTCTCCTGGAGATGAAGACCACGTGGCAGGAATATTTATTACTTGCATTTCGGCGTCTGCTTCCCCCAAATAACACAAATGTGCATTTAAAGGCCTTGTGCCTTCTGCCGCGTAAAAACTACGAGCGCGCACGCGCGTGTGTCTCACCAGGGAAGAGGTCGGTGCACCTCATGAAGGTCTCCCAGTAGATCAGGCCCAGGGCGTACATGTCCACCTGCTTCAGCGCCGACTCGCAGTCCCTCAGGTTCACCGCCCCCTCCAGCACCTCCGGGGCCATGTAGCGGATCGTCCCCACCTGGCGGGCCGAGCGGAACACAAAGAAAAAAAAAAAAGAGGGGAGGGGTGAGTCACGACTGAGAAGCGAGGCAGACGAGAGATCGGAAAAGCCGCCCAAACGCTCACCTCGCTGATGGCCGTGCTCTCCTCCTCGCCGTGGCGCGCCGGCCGGTTCCCCGTCAGCTTCATGGACAGGCCAAAGTCGATGATGACGCACGCGCCGTCCGCCTTGACCAGGACGTTGCGGCTGTTCAGGTCCCTGTGGGACACCGCCGGCTTGTACAGGTCTTGAAGGGAGCGAGAGGATGAGGATGAGACAAACGGGTCGGAGCAGATCCATCATTAAACGTCAAAAACGCTGATGCTTCAAAGATGGACTTTTTTTTTTTTGTGGCATTTGCAAATGAGCGATAACAGCCGCCAAATCCCCTTTGCACAGCTTTCCATTCCACTCATTACTCATTGTTCGGCGAAGCGAGCCGCTCTGTCATCAGACTGCCTAAAACCCTCTTAATCTAATCTGCAACAATGGGATTAAGACCCCGATCACTGCGGCCTCCGCCTGCAGCGCGTTCGCTGTCCAGCAGAGGGCACATTGGCGGGAGAGGGCGTCCGGCAGCCAGCATGGTTGTCTGCTGCATTCAGCTGTAACGCGGGTGGGGGGGCGGCAGGACATTGGGGAGGATGGCGACCGTACCGAACGCATTGGACTTGAGAGGTAGTTGTCTCGCGCCTGCACGAACAGAATCGTTCTCATTCCTCTTTTTATCTGCACTGATGGAGAGAGGAGGAGCCGTCTTGAGGCTCATCTCGGTTGTCACTTCCGCCTCCTGGGACCGATTACTCGGAGCCTGTCGCAACCCCCTACTTTGTCCCTCCCTCCCTCCCTCCCTCTTGTTCTTTTGCCCTCTGTAGCTGTAGGGGCAGGTTTATATACCCTCGGCTGGGCTCTACACGCCGCGTTTAAAGACACACGGATGCAGAGCGATCCAAACCAAACAGAGCCACGTGGAGCAGCAGGGTTGTTAGATCACACATACACACACATTCACAATTTCTACCGCGATTCTTCGGGCGTCTTTCTGTTACAGACAACAGCCTTGAGACTCGAGCAGTTATGTCATTAATTGCGAGAGTGTGTGAGGAGCAAGTTCACCTCCTTTGAAGAGCTCCGTGTGCAGGTACGCCAGGCCGCGGGTGACGGAATGAGCGAGGCGGCAGCTGTTGACCCAGTCGTTGGTCTGGACTCCCAGGTAGCGACTCAGAGAGCCCTGGACGGCGGGACGGGGAGGGGGGGGCATGAGAAGGAGACAGGGTACAGAGAGTGAGTGACGAAAGCGATATACACAAGGCAGTGAAGACAATAGAAATAAACCAGCTAACAACTGGTGGTTTCCACTGGAAACAGCCATGATGTGTGCATAGGAGGGACGGGGGGATGGGGGGGGGGGTTGTTGTGCCCAACTTTCTAGGGTCCATTTGAAAGATTGAAGAGGTAATAAAACATATGTATTTTAGCCCCCTAAACTGATACTCACATGGTAACGTGCCCCCATTTAATAAGATCCTCCTTCAGGGACCTCCGTGAAATGGGAATAAAAACTCCATACCATATTTTTAGCACATCCAACATTGGGAACTCTTACCAAACCAAGCGTCAAAACTGACAATTTGCAGAAATATTATTATCCCATTTGTTGCATTTTATCTTTCAAAAAGGTTTTCATGATAAAAAACAGCATAAAGAATATGTCAATGTCACCCAATGAGTGCTTTTCAGAACCATGAGATATTTGCAAGAGAAGACTGTGTCCTTCGAGCAACGCCGAGACTCCAGAAATGATGCTGTGCATGATTCATTTCCCTAATTATCTCCCCGAGAGATGATGAATTCACGACCGGCCCGGCCCCGACGCACATAGAAACAAACACACACGCACATCTTTTCTCTCAAAAACAAGCAATCACAAAGCAATGCCCACATCCGCTGCTTAGGAAAATCACATTAAATCAGTTCGTTTTAATAAGATTATCATTTACTTGAATGCATTATAGGTTTCAGTCTCCTGCCCTGCGCCGCGTTTCCATGACGATACGCATTAGCGCAGTGGTCTGCGATGCACGTGTTCATCGGCCCGATAGGGGTCAGCCGACTTTTACAGCAAATATATTCGGTTTTAAAGCCACGTTTCACATTAATATTTATGGCAGTGTTTCTGCCGTAGGGCAGTCAGCCTTCCTTTTGCTGCAGGTTCCCTTTTTTTTTGTCAGCGGAAAAACAGACAGGTGAACGACTTATAATCAAGTCATTCACCATTTCTCCTCCTGACCCCGTCTCTCCTCGCTGCAGCGCCTGAGAATGACTGACAGGGGAAGGAACTGACACGTGACGGCGTCTGCGACGGTAAAAATGACACTACCAATCCATTTAGTTCAGTCCCTCAGGTAGAGGTTTGTTAGCCTTCTTTAAAAACGCATGGTCATTTCGTATATGATGGTCCAATTACAGTCGAGAGATAGAAGCTGCAGGGCGGGGCTACCTGGCTACCTGTACTCACATGCGGGTAGTATTCCATGACCAGCAGGTACTCCGTGCGTCCCTCCGGGCCCGTCCGCTCGTCCGCGGCGACGAAGCGGGCGATGTTGTCGTGCTCCAGCAGCGGCAGCCGGTAGATGGAGCACTCGTTGAGGAAGTTCTGCCGGTTGGCCGCTGTGAACACCTTCACCGCCACGGGCCGCTCGTCCAGAGAGCCGCCGTAGACGGCGCCGTATCTGCCGCGCCCGATCAGCTGGAAGGGGGGGGGGGATGCGTTTTATAGACTCGCTTATAGAAAACCGCGGGAAATTAAGACAGCAGAGAGGAGATTTAAAAAATAAAAAATAAACAGCAGAAGTTTCAGGGCAACAGCTGGGTTAAACCGCTGGAACGGCCTCGGGTCACATCTTACAATGACACGGCAGAGGTCTAAATTTTTAAATTAAAAAAAAAATGCATTTCCACCTCTTCGTCTTCCAAGCGTATTTATCTGTTTGGCTCAGAGGAGACTATTTTGTCTTTGGGGAAGACGTATTTTGGATGTGAAACAACGAGCGTTTGATAAGGCGCAAGGACGGCGCGGCGACTTGAGGCCCCGCCTCCACAGATACCGCTCTCTGGAGGAGGAGAAACAACTGCAAGGTTCAGCGCTGATGGACTTCCTTCAAACATCCAAGACGCGTCTCACCAGAAACACTGTGTTAATGTAACGACGGGGTCTTTTCTTTGTTGTTGTTGTTGTTTTTCCGAAGCTCTCCGTGCACTTTTTGATTTCTATCAATCTTCACTCTGAAAACAAACTTGCTGGGACTTGAATGCCGCCCAGACAGAACTCCCTCTCTCTCCAATGTTTTTGCCCCGTGCTAAAAAGACAGTTGGATACTTGGCGGCCCCACAGGTCGGCCGTGGCGCTCTAGATTCCCACCGAGTCGGTGTTTTTGACCTAAACCCTCCTCCACAACTCTTAACCTCTTTACACTACCTCACTTGGTCTAACCGTCTTAAACTTGCATAAATAGATAATACAATTCAATAAATACTAAAATGAATGATCATCTAAGAAAAATACCACTTGTAGAGAAATTGAAATGAAGTAGTATAGTATAGTATATAGTAGTATATTAGTATGAAATAGTTTTTTAAAGGGCTCTGCAGTAATTCCTGCCAGGTTGACATTAAGACAATTAGACAACATGGAAACGGCCTCGATTTATTAACCCTGTTAAGAACACGACAACAGCTGCTTGCTCGTCACAAGGAAGTGAGAATTCAAATTATGACAAGTATGTAATTCTAATGGCGATCAGGCGTAGCCGGGAAATGAAGGATTTCATCGGAGATGACAAAAACACCAGCGCACGAGGAGCTCTGCGCTTTGTACAGATCTCATGTGATCTCCATCCAGTGAGCGCGTCGATGCGAATTACAGAACGTGTCTCCCACACGCCTCCGAGCTCCACCCGCAGGGCTCGCTCGCCGTTGACGCGTGCGAGGGTGCCATGTTTTTCTTCTGCATGTCTGCACTGTGTGAGATACAGAGCTACAGTGTCCTGAATGCCCTGAAAGTGATTACAACTCAGAACCTGAATCAACGCGATTGCTAAAACAGATTGGAAGAATTGCAGCTTCCACCAGTCAAATAAGCACGTAGGCAGCACCCACATTGCCAGGTAATGTGTCCGTTGATTAGAGAAGTCATTATATTTGGAGTTACGTCTGTCATGGTCCTGCGTACTGCCCTTTTAACTGCTTTGATCCGCTTGTGTCTTTGTGTCTCAATATCATCCAGACTCCTTTGACTTCCCATCACAATATGAGCTCTCCCATATCGGGTTGTTCCGGATCCGCCCGTCAGCGGAAAAAATAAACTATTCCTGTGCGCCCTGACCGGTCACTGAATGCCGTGATCGGATGATGAAGAGGTCACATTGGAAACGGCAAACGTAACCAAAGTGCTTGATGCAATTTGGCCTCTATGCCATTGAGTTCTGCTTTTAACTCTCATTTCTCTCTCACACACACACACACACACACAAACCTCCAGGAGCTTCAAATTGTCCAGATCCAGAGAGCTCTCGGAGCTGGCGGCCTCCATCATATTCAGGTTGTGAAGGCCTTGCTTACCATCTCCTGTTAACACACACAAACACACACAATTTAACAACATGGAGACTCATTTTTACAAAGAGATCCTCTCTGAAACTTATTAAAATTGAACCCGAAAAAGAAAAAAAAAGCACTTAAAAAACTGCCTGGAATGATTCCCCGTCAGCACCATAGCAACTCACCACGCATCATGCGGTAACCGAAGAAGGCTGCCACGGCAACCACAGCCAGTACGGAGAGGGTTGCCAGGGCGATGATTATTGTCTCCTCGTGGCGCAGTGGGCGCAGGTCTACGAGAGAGAAGGGGGGGAGGAAGAGACACACACACATCAAAAATACAAAAAGTAGATATGTAAGGTGTGTAACACCTGTATGCGGAAACCTTTGATATGTGAACAGGAAGTCAGGAGAGCCACAGCGCGCACACACACACACACACACACATGCACGTACGTAAAGAACTAAAGAGTGAGCGCAGATAACGAGAGGGAGAAAATTAAATCTACTGCTCGTCTACAGCAGCGAGCGTGGATGGATTGCAGAGCGGGCGCTCTGAAAATTTGCAGGAAACAGACTCTGCTGCGCGCGCTTCATTTTAAAACGATTATCATCGCCGACGTGAACAGTTGAAGTTATGTTAACAAGTATTTTGTTGCATGAGAGGACTACGTATTTTTTTTTTTTGCTTTTATTATTTTGAAAAACGTTGTATTTGTCTTTTGTTGTGAGTTGTATGTTTAAAGTAGCTAAGCTACATACATGAAAGTGGTATACAAAGTACGTGTAGTTCAGATTCTTCAAATTGTCAGAAGAGGAAACCGTATTTTCATTGTACTCTTCACGCCACGACAGCTGCAGTTAATTTGCATTATTATAGATCACACCGCTCTGTGGTATGAAATGTCGCTCAAATGAAGCAAGCGCAACATAGAAGTAAATCGTAACAATGATGATTCCAATCCGATAATATTATTCTGTCAAATCAAGACCTCTAGTATGCACTTATGTGAACGCTGCACTTACTTAACTTTACCTCTGCTACCTCCCAGCCCTGACTGTCGTCACGCGAGCCTCTTGGCTCGAGATCAAACAAACCCTTCTTCTAATAATACCGCCCAGACGTCAACAGAGCACAAGCTGGATGCAACAACGGGTAAAACACAACCCCAACCACGCCGACCCACCGATCAATCAACCCGCCCCCCCCTCCCCCTGCCACCGTGACTTGACTTTCCGCTGACGTCAGTCTCGCCGCCGGTCTGCCCTGGTGGAGCAGACGGCGTGTAACCCGAGGAATGCGGAGAGACGACATAGACGGGAGTGACAATGTGTGGCAGGATGTAAGACGTACCGACACACACACAAACAGTACACGTGTACGACACTCTCACTGAGACCATCGGCTGCGTGACGAAGCCGAGGGGGGAGGAAGAGGAGGACGTGAGATCAGGTGTGGCTACGGTGGGGCGTAAGGAGGCTCTGCTGATGTCAAACAACCAGAGGAGTTAAGAGTCTCTAAAGACCCCCGAGTCCATTTACATCAACAGAAAGGGCTTTTAGCCAACAGGGGGGCTTCTGTCGGTCAGCTGACCATCGGCTGGTAAATAAAAGGAAGAGAGGTTTCATGATCGAGGCCGTCCGCACTACTCAAGGATGTCAGGTATTGTGCGGCGGCTTGTGGTGTGTCGTTCTTACGAGGCGTCTGCGCCGTAGTGGGGCTCGGCAGGGGGAAGTCCTCCGTGAAGTTGACGTTGCACATGTCGCTGCCGCAGCAGCAGAAGTGGTACGTCCCATTCTGGATCTGCGGCGGGAGGTTGGTCACCACGCAGCGGTCGTCGCGGCAACCCTGGTGGTCACCCAGGTGGGGCCAGCAGCCTGACAGGGAGGGAGGGAGGGGTTACAATTCTCTCGAAGACCAGCAAGACTTTTCTATACATCTCCACATGCTTTCACAACGGATGCAGACGTGACAAGAAGAGTACAAATGTGTGAGCCCCCCCCCTCTCCAAGGGTCTCGCTTAGTCGTACCTTGTTTGACCAGTCGCACCTCGCCCGGAAGACTCTTCTCCCACAGGCCGTAGCAGTGGTTCCCCTCATTGCACTCGACGGTGGTGTTCTCCGGGGAGATGAGACCTTCGTCCCCCGCAACCTGGTTCACCTCCCACTGCTGGAAGGCGGCGGCGCACTTCCTCTTCTCGCCCTGCGCCGCTGTGGTGGGGAAGACGGGACAGACAAGAGTGGTGAAATGGAATCCACGCCTCCAGAATTGTGCGAATCGGTGCTCATTTGTTAAGATTATCTTAGCACAAAACATGGAAGTGACACACTTAAATAATGCAACAAATTAAAACGTGCTTTTTGTAGAAGAAACCAGCGCCGCGTGGAAGGACCAGCCAGAATGCGGAATGGACAGTTTGCTCGTGGTGTAAACAGCGCCGCGGGGGAATAGCAGAGCCAAAGTGGGACTGTGTGTTTGTGTACACAGCAATTCCAGATAAGGGAAACACGACGTGCTAGCTGGTTTCCCTCGCTCCCAGCCCCTCCCTCCCTTCATCTGGGGAGAGGGGGTGGTGGTGTCTGTTATGGAGGGGGGAGGAAGGAGTGGGGGGGCTGACCGTGCCCTGCCCCAAGGTCAAGCTGGCCTGTGTGGGCAGAGGGTGACGCGATGAAGCGGTGGCTTGGCGCTCCTCTGCTCCCCCATGCTCAGATAACGCTATCACCCCCCCCCCACAGGCCTACTGTGGGCATCGGCTGGCCTCAACCCGCGGGGGCCCTTTGCTGCTGAATGTTCTGTGGGACTGACTCTGCCTCCGGGGGAGATGGGGAGGGCGCAGAGCGGGCGACAACTTCAAAACTTAAGTAAGAGGGTTAAGTAAGTGGAAGAGTTTTCACTTTTTCTTTAGACGCCGCCGGCTGGGGAAAAGATTCCCGACAAGACGCGCAACAATTACCACACAAATGGTCTCATGCTGTAGTCGTTCTCAGAAAAAGAATGACAATAACAACCCCACATCAAGACCTGACTATGATAAAAAATGATTTTTAAAAAGCCGCCGTCTCTGAGAACGGTTTTATTTGGCCTCTACTCACAAACCACTTTACTGGAAACGGAGATAAGAACTATGATTTTCCTGAAAGGAACGCCACCTCTGTAGTTAAAGCACAACACCACAGGGGAGACGTGACGTGGCACATATTCCTTTATATTGCACCACCTCTCATACGGAGGATCTGCACCACTGGAGTCTGAGGCAAACAGCTGTCCAATCGTAACTGTGCAACCCCAAATAAACATTTACAAAAGAGAAATCGATCACAGCACACGCTTGCTCCAGCGTCGGCTACGAGCACGTTTAGCTCGGGCTGGTAACACAGCGTTACTTCATTGACAACGATAAAACAGTGTCATAAAGCAAGTACATCTTTTAAAAAGAGGAACAAACTTTGGGTCGTTAATAAAAATCTCATCTTGGAATGAGTAAGAAGATATAAAAGTATCGAAGAACCACCCGATGCGATGAATAAAACACTCTGTGGCTTCGTTTAACAAAGAATGGCAGTTAACTCACCATTTGGCAAAGAGACATAAAATCCATTATTGGCAAAATCCGGCCAGTCTCTTTAGTTTAGGACCATTGTTGACCCAAAAGTGAGAACATTACATATGACAAGTTGTGTCGGTGCATTCTACGATAAGACATTATAGTACATACATGTAAAAACATGTACGCACATGCATGTACACATGCTACGGTGCTGTGACGGGCCGGCAAACTAGTCCGGCGGAAACAGCGTTTTCAACCAACGTTCAAGAAGCTAATGTGGTCTTAAAATCGCTAATGCTATCAAGCGCCGTGGGCTTTGGCTTTAACAATGATCGCTTCCACGGCCTCAGCCACGCTTCCTCTCCAACCATCCACACCCCAGGAGCGCAGGGGGGCTGCGGACGTGAGGTCGAGGAACTCCGTTGCGAGAGGAGAACAATCAAAGGAACTGCGGAGCCGGAGACGATGCCCACGGACAGTCGGGACAAACGGACCGACCTTACGAACCAGAATCGGAAAACACAAATCCAGAGAGCGGAGTAGCTCCTCTTCCTCCCAAAGCTGTGAGCCGACATGAATTATTAAAATGTTCACTACAGTTCAAGGCTGTGAAACGAAGAAACCCCGATAATGAAACCTGGTCTCAGGGAACCTCTGGGGCAAGAAGGCAGCTGACGCTGCAGATTAAAGCCGTAACGTCTGGAGTTCTATCTGGGAAATTGATTTAGGAGTTTTCATTAAGGTGTGAGCAGCTCGGTGCTAACGGGGCTTTGATTTACGTTATAATACGTTCAGGCTCCATTCAGTTCAATTATTAATATGTAATATTGTAAAATCTATTTTGGGGAGAATGCTGAGATGTTTTCACAGCAATATAGAATAACTATGGAGGGGGAACTTAAATAAAACCCTATCAAAAAGGACTGTGTTAAGTACATGGGACTTGGTATTTGTGACCCCAAACAACACAAAACAATGTGAAGCGATAAGCAAGACGGAGGCGCCTGGGATGGAGCTGTAACCCTCGGCCCTCTCAACTGGGCTCAGAGTCACGGGAGCACTCCTGTAGTCATGTTTCATTGGTTCGTCTGCCACTCCGCTCGGCCCGTCCCGTCCCGTCCCGCTCGTCTCCACTGACAATCACGTTTTCCTCTGCGAGCCGTTTCCGGTTGGACGCCAGTCCCTTTTGTTCATCTCTGATTGGACGAGGCGGGGCCTCCGTCCCCGGTTGTGACCGGTGGAGCGAGCTTGGCTTCCACTGCAGGATTTTTGGATGGTGGGTCGGAGTATCCAGGCAAGGCCAGTGGAGCGAGAGAGCGAGAGAGGGAGAGAGGGGAGAAGGGGGAGAGCAAGGGCAGTCATAGCAAAAGGCCTAGGAGTAGTTTTCTGCCCCGAGCCTGTTCATTGGATGACGGGCACTGCCGAGTGTTTACCCATGGCCCAGTTATTTGCTAATCTCCCCCCCCCCCCCCTCCGCCTTTAAGCCTCCTCCCCCAATTGGCCTTCGGTGCACCCTCCCACCGTCGGTCTTCCCCCTTCCACCTCGGCCCTCGCCTCTAAAAAACAACAGCGATCTAATCTGGCTCTCTCCTTCCCGGCTGCCAAGGCCCATCGGGAGAGATGAGACGCAGCCTCTCTCCCAGCAACCGGTTCAGAGTTTGATTCCAGCATTGGAGGCAGGGACACGCGGGGGGGGGGGTAGTGCAGAGGGGAGAGTTGGGGGGGGGGGGCAGGCCTAGTGCCGTCTCCCCTGCAGCCACACAGCGGGGCCGACTCGGTGCCTTGCATTAATCCAAAATGCCGGCGAACCGTCCTGCCTCTCCGCCGGTTACTTTCGCCAACCTTTGCCGATCGTCTCGCAAAGGGGGGGTGTTGGACGTCCACTTGGGGACGACAGGTGGTGACCCTAATCGTACCTGAGAACCTGCTGCTGTTTGGGTGCACGCTTGTTGCAGACGCCGGTTTCTGGAGTATTTGCTGACACCCCCAATTTTCCCCAAGTTAAGTTTCAAAGATGTGGGGGGTGGAGGGGTCAGAACGGCCTGAGTGGGCTTTAATCTGTCCCATCTGTTGCCTCGGGACTGCTCAACCCCCCCCCCCCCCCCCACCAAGCCCCCCCTCTCAAAAACACCACCACTCAGTCTGGGTCTGTCTGAGTCTGGTACAGTTATGCTAATCCTGAGGCTTACGCCGTCCCTCAAAGCTTAGCGCCCTCCATTACTGACCACGATTTACACAGAACCCCCCCCCCCCTCCGCTTATACCTTAACTTTCCCAAATATGCCATGAAAACGCAGATGACGGAGCGGGGTTGCGTACACCATCCCCCCACAGGGGACGGTGGGCCAAGCAGGGGGGGGGGGGGATTGGGGGGAGATCTCAGATTATTTATGAGCCAGCAAAAGTTGGGTGTCAGGCGGCGGCTGAATTTGGCCCTTTGTTCATGCCGACGTCTCTTCCTCGTTGAAGAAGCGAACAGCCGCTGCGTTGCTGCTCGGCGGCTTCACAGAGCAGCTCGACAGGCCGCGGCCGCCTGGTATGACGCCGCTTCACCTGTTCAGCGGCAGCCGACCGCTGCTGGCAGCGAAGGCCTTGTTGTACGAACTAAACAAGAGGTTGAGCTGAGACAATCGGACGAGGAGTCGATTGCGAGTCAAAACGTCGCTAAATGTCAGTGCTGCACCGGGCTTTTAGAAATATTAAAGGGGCATTGTCCACTAGAGAAGCCCCCACATCCGAAATGTATTTAAAAAAAAGGTACCGATATCAGACATGACATTCCCCTTTTCTCAATGCCAAATTCAGTTAACACAGCTAGGTTTAACACAATTCCTTCTCTAATATCCATTTGATTTGGGTGCAGAAAAACAACTGTATTTATTTAAGTTGTCACAAAAAAAAACACCACATTTTACAGATTACACCAACGTCGACTAGCTTTCTTCCTCTCGATTTCAACACGGATTTGTCGTTCACACTGCAGCATTATTTGGGAAAAACAGGCCAATCCATAACAGTCACCCCACCAGCACCTATGGAACCTTTTATTTATTTATTTATTTTTAACTCCCTGGTTTATTTTATTTGCTGTAGAATATTAGAACGAATCCCTTTATCCTGCTGCATGCTGAGTTCAAACGTCCGAACTGGGACGTCGCTCCTACAAACTGAATGAGCAGCTCACACTACATCTGTCTGGGCGCTCTGGATTCCAGGCTGCAGGCATCCCATAATAAATCACAGTGATGTGCTGGGCTACAAATAACACAGGAGAGCAGTTCAAGTGTTAACACCGCGGTTAAACACACAAACACACCGGCTTGATCCTATAACGTTTCAGTTGGAATGATTATTAGTGCATTAAAGGCCCGAATAGCACAAAAATAAAATGCCCAAAGAATTTATAACGAATGAGTAAAGTGATAAAAAACACCAATGTTTTTAGAAAGCGTTTAACCATGAAAACCTTGAAAAAGCGCATCCACACACAGGACATTTGGGGTCTTTCTGCGCACTTGGGACTTGTTGTCTCTGCTGGTTAAGGAAAGACTTTTCTGTGCTAATCATCTGCTGTCACTCTGACTTACCATCTCAAGGCTGCACCTTTTGTTTTCTACAACATCCACTAATTTCTCCTCTTTGCCAAAGCAGAAGGCCTCGGCTGAACACGGTCCCATTGTAATCCCGCCTTGCTCTTTCCCCCCACCCCCCTTATTTTTTAGTTTTACCTCTGCTCACAACTCAAACCCGAGCTACGCTAATAGAAGCTAATAGAGCACGAGGCCAGCTGTTATTAGGAGAGCAAAACAACCTCTCCTCCTGTTCCGGCATCCGCCGCTCTGTTTGTTACTGCATTTAGTGTCATTCCATCTCGCCAAAGAAAGATGTGGACAGAGTGCAAAATGTTGCGGAGGCAAAAAGAGGATGCAGCGCTTTTTTTTTTGGGATCCTACAGCAACAACTCCACTGCTTGATTTCCAGCCTAAATTGGATTACGCATCATTGTATTACATCCATTTCTGCTTCTACACGCTTGTTGGTTGGACAACTGATTTTAACATTTTCACGAGCCGCTTTCAGCCATTTACCGGCCTCGTGGTATTTACAGGAGGACGCAGACGGGAGCTGAGAGCTTAATGTGGTGCGGCTCCGTGTTGGTGGCGGTGGTGGTCGGGGGCTTTGGGCAAAATCAATATTGTTAATTGAAACACAATCACCCTCAACCAGTGTTGCTTTCCTACTGTTGGAGGCTATAAAGAAGGTAAAAACCCTTGGATGATGAAGGCAAACGTTCGCTGGTATTATAGCAAACAGCATATGACGGTGGCATCTTTTACAAACCGATACCTCTCTGAATGGTTAGCCGGATAAAACCAGGTTTTTGAAGCAGTCACCTAGAACCACTTCCATTGACAGCGAAGGTCCAATAAAAAGGACACCACTGATTTAGCGCTGCACATCTCATGAAATAGAACAAATATAGAAATGACGGTGCCAAATCAATGAACAACCAAAGACGGCCTTTTTTCCTTTCACAGTTTCTTTTAGACAAACCAAACGCCTACTTGGACCCACAATGCAACTGCATCAGCCAAAGGCGGCACACAAGCCGCGGATAATACTTTTCATGTTCCGTTTTCAAACTTGAGACTTCGGCTGCCTCCAGTGACGCCGCTCAAGGAAGCCCGTACAGACTTCGCACGGCTCTCTCTGGAGACGCCACTTCGTACAACTTCTCTCCAAATACGCAGCGGGATTTTCCCGATGCGCTGAAACGCGCCGCGTCCTGCACAATCGGTGTTGCAGCCCATGAATACATAAAGCAGATTTCAGCCCTTTGTTTCAGGGTCTCAAACTGCCTCAGCTGAGACGTCACCCGGGGGCCAATTCCTGAGCGGGCCTCGTGCCCGGCTTTCAATGCTATCCGGATTCATCCTCAACGTGGCCCTCGTTTAACCCCGCCTTCCAAATCGCTGATTAAATGCCAAGTCAACCACACCTAAACACTGCATTTGCAATAAAATGAAATGAATGTTCTTTTTGGTGCTCCTGGTCTTTAATCCTTGTTGGAGACCCTCAGAAGCCCCCGGCTCACCTGGGACAGCGGGGCCCTTAATGTGGGGGGCTTGCGGCGTACGTTACGAGATGCAGATATTTACCCGGGGAGGATTATTTGGGTTGTGAGGATCTAAAACATACCTACTTAACAAGTCACGCCGCAAGTAAGCATCCGATTTGGTGCTCCAGACTTCTGAGCAGAAGGTGGACACCTACGCACCGATTAGTCAGAGGGTGTGGGGGGCCGGGTGCTCTGAATGCAAACATGTTAAATGAGTCCTGGCGAAAGGAAATTGACTAGAGGTAAAAGCTGAGATGGGAGGATAGGAGTAGGATAGTAATTCCAGGCCAGTTCGAATAGAAAAGGTCTGCTGAATGTTTCAATTCAGACAGGAAATAATAGCTCAACTCTGCAAACGCCCCCCCCCCCTCACATCTCCCCGGGAAATGCATCGTGTCCCTCTGTATCGGCTGGAACACTCCTTTGGCTGACTCATCTGCTCACTTCACCATTTCAGGGTAAAAACAGCAGGCTTTTCTCCTGGTATTGTTTCACCGCCTAAATCCCAGGATAGAAAAATATGCTCCGATTGGCGACAACCACAACAACAACAACAACGACGACGACGACGACGACGACGACGACGAGTCCTCGCTCTGCATTCTTTATGGTGTCATTCCAAATAAAACAAAGACACTTGTCCGTCGGACGTACCAGTGCATTCCAATTCCGTGGCAGCACCAACATATCTTTCTTCCAAAACAATAATTACTCTGGGCTTCTGATTGGAGGGGGGGGGCCCTCAACAATAACACTCACACAGAATGCATTATTAAGAAGCATTCACGCCCACTCACGTGACACCAGACGGGCGATCCAGGCCTCACAGACACACATTAAACTTCTATCACCTAAATTACCCATCTTGTAAAATACCGTTCCTGTCTTCCCCCACATTCCACATACCCCCCCTCCCTCACACACTGCTCCTCCGTCTCTTGTGCAGGCCAGGGTTCTCCTATCTTATCATGCTCAAGGTCTCACAGAAGCCTGGCTTCAGCCCAAAAGTCTTAAACATGGGCACAACTTGGCAGAAGGGAGGAGGGGGGGGGGGGGGGGCGCTGCGGTAAGATCGTCAGATGTTTGCCAGTCCTTGGCACACAGAACGATGGGGTGGGTGGCAAAGGGGGGAGCCGGGTCTCCGCTCCGCTGCTCGGTTCTGTCCCGAGAAGGCCGATGTGTGTGAGGAGGTTTGAACTGAGCGGACCACATGCAGAAGATGAGACAGAGTGAGAACATGATGGAGAGGATGGTAAAAAAGGGGGGGACAGATAGGGGACATGTGGGGACTTAAAGGGGAGGGAAAAAAGTATCTACAATGAGGACAATCTGCACGACACACACGATCGTTATGTTACACATATTTTTAATAGAGGCAGATTTAAAAATCAAGCCACACCATCCAAACCAGAGCAGGCTGTGTGGACCAGACACGCGCAGCAGCCCAAAAGGGGAAAACATTAAATATTAATGACAAGTACATTTACCTCCTTAGAAATAAAAGGCAAAATAACAATTCCCCAATAAGCCACTTACCAGCAACAGAAGTCAGGAGAATCGTCAGGCAGAACCCATATTTAGCGAGTGATTTCATCGTGATTAGCCCCACGGCCATGACAGCGTTACAGCCAGAGTTCGGTCCCCCAGTTCGTGTCCTCGTCTGCTTCTTTCCGTCCTCTCGTTTCGCGGGCGCCACCGTGTTCTTCTTCTCTTCACGTCAGCTCAATAACTTGAACGGAGTTATCGGTCACGGGAAACATTCGATGCCTACGACGTTAATAAATATGGGGGAAAACCAAACTAAACCAAAAGAAAAAAAAAGAAATTGACCGTTGTTGTGTTCGGCGTACGTGTTGGTGAAAGTAGGTCCCGTTATCGACCCCCGCGCGGGCCGGACAGACGCCCCGAGCAGCTAACGCGTTTGCCGGATCTGCAGTCTACAACTAGCCATCCAACGGCGTCCATGTCTGCTAGCTAGCATGCTAGCTGCCGGGGGGGGTGGGGGGGCGGGGCTGTCTGGTGCTAGAAAACTTGGCCAAAGAAGGTAAATAGTGCAAAAATAAACGTCGTACAACTAGTTGGTGTAAGCGCACACCATTCTGAGCTGCACGCTTAATATATACATGTATAAAATAAATAATCCACCCTTTCGGCAAAAAGCGTTAGCCAGTTAGCTCGGTTAGGTCACAAGCCGATGTTAGCCGAGCAGCTAGCCAGTTAGTTCTCCGCGTCCCGTCTCATTTCATCTCCGCCGAGGGTCGAAAAAAAACAAAAATCACAGGTCAGCGGCGCCAACAGCGAGCTTTTTCTGTTTTGCAACGAGCGGAGATTTTTACGCGCATTGTGGCAGACGACGTGGGGAGGAATCACATATCTCTTGGATTGATCTTCCCCGAGGCAGTCGGCGGCGTTTGGCATTGACGCTTTGGATCTCCGCTGGGGAGGCAGGCAGACAGACAGACGGGGCGGCTGGGAACGCCTCGTTTGCAGGCTTGTCTGGACCGCTCGTCTCCGGTATCGGGTTGCTGTTGGGGGTGGACCGTCCTACACAGAGGGGAGGAGGGGTGGAGCAGCGCCGCTGTGCCGCAGACGATGGATATAACACCGACCGGTAAACACGTGGTGCGTTCAGGTACTCGATTCAAGCGTGTGGTTTTTCTGGTTCCAATTTAGCGTAAACACCGTAACGCTTCGTGGTGAGCAAGCTCTGTGAAATATCGTCAGTAATCTCCTTGTAACCTGCAGGGAAAGTTGTTGCTGTTTCCATATTTATGCTATAATGTCGGGTATTTTTCAGCGAGGGAGACCACCACATTTTAAAGACTTTTTAAAACATGTCAATGGTCCTATAACATTAGACATTAGAATAATTGTTATTGTTAGTATTACTACTGTTAATACCATTATTATGATGACATGTTTAGCTGCAATGTTATGCTTTTTTTCATGGCTGAACCTTTAGTTCAATTTTGACCTCCTTAAAGTTACTATTTCCGATTGTCATTAAATGTATCAAGGGTTATTCAACTATTAGTGTTACTTTACTGCCTCTGTGTGGTCAAATAACGTTGAACTGAATTTAAACCCTAAAGCACCAGACTGTAAAAGTCACAACATGAATTATTACAGCAGGTGGCAACGTTAGCCCGTGGCTACTGCGGAACAGTGTGCGACCTTTATAGTTACGCAACCTCGAAATAGTAATAAGTGAAGCTCAAACACTTTATGCTGCTCCCTTTTATTGATTGAATATTTGGGGTAATTGCTATTTAACCATCTAATGACCTAAATACCCTAAGAGTGTCCCTCCGTCACCGTAGTCATAATGCCGACACGTCATGTGGGAACTACAGTTATTCACCCGTCTATTCAAAATATGACAAATGACGCTGTCCCGCTTGGACGCGAATGCACCGAGAAAGGGGGCGTGTCAGTGCGCGCGGAGGGACCTCCGCCGACGGGACAGAGCGCGCAGCCAGCTTCGGATTTGCTCTGTCGACGAGGGCGGTGCTCCTCCGGGCTCCCGGACCAGACGCACACACGCTGACGTGAACTCCAAGGGCGCCGTGATGTCAGGATAACAACAAGAAAACAACAACAACAGCACGGACAGACCCGAGCGGAGGATCTCCAGCCCCCCCCCCCCGTCCTGGCGCGCACCGCCCCGTCCCGGCGTTCCCGCTCCTCTCAGCGAGCCGGCCGTCTGCAGGAAAACCGGGGCCGCGCGCCATGGCGTCCGCTTCCACCCGAGCCGAGAAGTTTCACCCGCGGGCTCAACAAGCCGGGCACCGCCGCGGAGCTGAGACAGAGCGTCTGCGAGGCCGTCAGAACGTCCGTGTTGATGGTAGGAGTGTGCGGGGGGGGGGGGACAAGTTGTATCACTCATAGTGTTTATCTGAGAATGGGGACATGCATTTAGCTACGGTGTCACTTTGGTGTCTGTGGTTACAACTTTCTCAGAGGCGGTTGCCAGGTAACTGAAATGTGCACCTCCAGCTGCAAAGTGACCATCCTGTCATCCGATCCCCGCCCCTCCCTCCCCCACGCCACAGGTGCGCCTTGCAACCAGATCAGTTGAGTAGATAAAATTGGCCAAAGACTGCATGTGAGGATGCCCCCCCCCCTCCCATGAGGATGAGGATATGATTGTTGTGCATTCATCCTCTACGTTAAAACCCCCTCCGGTGTCCTCGTGGATGATCAATGTGGCGTTTTCATTTTCCTGCAACTCAGGCCTTTTGCTTTCAATTACGCCGGCTGTCTCTCTCCAAGGTCCCAGTACGCCTGTACTGATTTTGTAATAAAGATGTCATAAAGAACAGTTTACTCTGTTTATATATAAAAAAAACACCTTGCCTGTCTGACTAAATTAAATTGTTAAGTTGTTTCTAAAGCGTAAATTCAGCAGCTCTGCTATACATTTCCTAATGTGTGTCCACGATACAGTCAAGTGCATGTTGTCACGTGATCAGGCTCATAGGACGTGATCAGGCTCATAGGCGCTGACCAGTGACCGTGAGATCTGGCCTGTGCTAATGGGTTGGTAATGGGGTGGTCATCATGTTACACGTCATGGCCGTCACAGAACATTGGGGCTATCAGAGGTGTGCATGTTGTTGGGCGAAGTAATGTGCTTGTCAGCAGGCCGGTGTATTAGCTACAGTTTGTGCTCTAGATAGTGATTGTTTTTGTGCATTTCATATTTTTCCCACTTGTTGCCATTAATGTCATTTGAAATTAGAAACCTAGATTGAATGCATGTAAAACTGAAATCTAGCTTGTTGTATTACCAGTGATATAGTGGTAGAAACATTAAAAGGCTCTTGTAGTGACCTGTCAATCACAACGTAGCCCAACCCTAAAGCACGCCCTGCTTTATTGTCTGTTTATCTCTAAATGGGGCCATTATTCACTAAATGATCATCATGCTGTGCTGGCAAACACTTAAAACTATAGATTGAGACCATCAAATAATGTTCTCACCGAGGCAATGAATCAAGAGTTAAGTATAGACGTACAGATATATAGATGTCTATACAATCTGACTTATTTTAACAACCCACATTCCCCACAATTCCTTTCTCTCTCTGCTATAACTGTGCATTAAAGGCATCATCTTTTTCATATTTGTGGTCTGCAATTCCACGATGACATCACTGTGACAGAATCACAGTTGTTTTCTCCATAGTTAGGGACCCACCCATGGCGAGTTTCCCCTTTAACTCCTTTTGGCAGCGGCACATCTGGTTGAATTAGCGAAACAGCTGCACTTAAAGTTATCAGAAAAGACATTGTCCCTCCGTTGCCACATGTCCTGCACCTGGGTCCCATTATGTGCCTCCTGTGCAAACCAACTTCCGCTGGGCCTCTATTTTTGACTCTGCACTCGCAGCGCAGCTGTCTTCCCCTGCCCATTTGACATGGAGACTGACATGCTGGTATGGTAAAACCCAAACATTTACAAAGTATACCAGACATCAGAGAATGTCCACCACAGCTCAGATTTCACCCAGCAAGAAGCTGGATGCGGTCCTCGGATTGGTTGTGCAACTCTGAGCTCATTCGGTTGTGTAAATTGAATCCAAAAGTATTTGAAAAGCCGGTTTTGAAGACTTCCTAAAGTAACCCACTTCTTTCCCCAGAATAGTGGAGCACAATCCATTGTTTAGTCTTAATTCTAATCTGTGGCCCTATGGGTTGGTCCACCGTGCGTGGAGGGGCGTGATGGATGTCAGATCAGGTCCCTGGGCCGCGTTTAATAATGGAGGACGAATGGTGGTAGGTGTCCCGTCTATTTATAGACGCGCCCTCTTCAACCCCGCGTCCCACCGAAGCACCGCGGGGACCATCAATTATGAATGCCTGCATATGTGGTAAATCATCTAGGTTCCAGACCAGATCAGGCAAGTTGGACGCTCGCTTACACACACACACACACACACACACACACACACACACACACACACACACCATGGTTACTGCAGGCGTGGTCGCCTCGCTCAGCTACCTTAGTAAACAGAGCGGAGGCCAAGCAGTGGAGCAGTAAAGACAGACCCCGCTGTTTTAATAATCACTTCCAACTGTGGGAAATGCTTGCTCGGGTTTTTTATACCTTCTTCTGCCCTCTGCTTGCTTTGCAGTACGAGTGTCTTTACTCAACCCTTCCCGTACACACACACACACACACACACACATATACATACAATTCAAATGCTCAAATTCTATCTATGTTTATTTTGTATTTATTGTTGTTTGTTCACTCTCTTTTATTTGTTATGTCTGCAGCTACGAGACAAAAACACCGTAATGTCCCGCTGGTCGCTTAAAGCAGACAGATCTAAGAGCAAAGTCAGGTCCTCGGCCTCCTTTAAGTGCCCTAATCGTTTTGAAAAGAATCAAGTCCAAACCAGCAGGCTGCAAGGATATTCTTCTTAAGCGAAGGAAGAAACCAAAAAAACGTTTTTTTAAATGCGGTAACAGCATCGTGATTCATATCCGAGTTCACGAGCTTCACCAGCAGTGACTGATTGAATACTTCATGGCTCTAATGGCTCATATTAGTTGCTATTTCCCTTCTGGGCACTAAGGTGACAGAGGAGCCTGATTGTAGCACAGATTCTCTGTCCCATATGCAGCTTAAAAAAATAAATAAATAAGTAGACAACCAAAATACACCCCCCCCAAATTGACTATTGGTTCAGCCCAGCGGTTCCTACAGTGAGCTATAGAGGATTTGGTCTGATTGAGAGCATATAAATAAATAAATAAAAAACCTGGTGGAGATAATCTGCAGATTTGCAAATGCTGCAGTACTGCCGACCAACATCTGTGTCATGATACAAGATCTGCGTGTTGGTAGAAGCAGGAGAGGGCTGGGGGGGAGGGGGCTTGGTTGGTCGCCTGGCGTTGCAGATCTTTATGCGATGATGAATTCTTATTTCATGACACGTCTTTGACACGTTGCCTCCGGCCTCGCGTACCAGGACATAAATAAACGCCTGTACTTGTTTGAGTGCGGCGTCGTTTTTGTTGGACAGCTGCTGTGGGTTTTTGTTTCTGTGAGTCCCGCGCTGTTGATTCAGGAGGGGAAAGTCTTGTCTTGAGTTTTGTCTTCTTCCTCGTCGGTGGTTTATGGTAAGAATCTGCCTGAGGTTCAGCAGGCACTGACGTAACCTCTCTCCGTTCACCGATTGCCAACGGATCTTTGTCCAAACAAGATCTGCGTAGTGCGTGTGGATCCCACAAAGAGTCTAACAGTGAGCACTTTAATAAGGTACGAACAAAAATACAGGTTTAAAACCTACGCTGCTACCAATGAATTGTGGGAAACAAAACAACAGTATTAAATCTTGGGGAGAGCATTTTTTTTAACTCTCTTGGGAAGTTTGATGGTTAGTTTGAACGAATCATGTCCAATATCACATCTGTTATTATGGAATAAATGAAAGTATGCCAGGGATCACTGGCTTTCAGTACTTTATGAGATGCATTTTGAGGCAGCCGAGTCCATAACATGTTTTAAAAAGAAACCCTCTGACCCAGTTGACACAATTAAACACCCAGTTCTCAGTGTAAAAAGAAACATTCA